ACCCCTAGACTTTTCAAAAATGCATCGCTGTTGGGCTCCCTGCCCAAAAACTTTTTCAGCATTTCACTTGGATCTCGGCCACCCCCAACACCAATAATGTCAGAAACGTAGCGCTTGCCGATAACAGGATCCAGGAGACCGTTATGGCTCTTAATGTATCCATACACATCAAGAGCAAAAACCTTGGACCACATATAGCCATAATATCCAGCACCATAACTGGTAAGATGACCAAAAGAGCATTCAAAATGTGTATCATCCCCATATTTAATATAGGGATTGATTCTTGAGCGGATATCCCTCATTAGCCCCGTAGTATCCAATTTATTGGTATCTTTTCCGCCTGCAAAAGGGGCGGCAAAAATTTCCAGGGAATAGGTGGCAAATTCCAACTGCCTGAGAGAATCCCGACCGCTGAATGCATTTCGAGACTTAACTTTCGCCTCCACAAGGCTACTGGGTAAATGTTCGTGCGTTTTGTAATGGGATGATATTTTTTGAAGAAGCTCGGGTTCCCAAACCCATTCCTCCAACATTTGGGAGGGCAATTCAACAAAGTCCCACTTGACATTTGTTCCGGCGAAAGACGCCATGCGACTGCGCCCCATAAGCCCATGAATGGCGTGACCGAATTCGTGAAAAAATGTGGTCACATCGTCATGAAGAAATAGCGAAGGTTGATCCTTTGAAGCTGCCGGGAAGTTCGCAATTACAACACCCAAGGCAGGTGAATATTCATTTTCAGAGCCATGCAGAAGAACGGGAGGAACGACCGAGTGGCAACATGCATGCGAAAACTTTCCTTCGCGCGGAAAAAGATCCATAATCACGTGCCCCAAAGTCTTTCCAGATGCGTTGTCCTTGACGTGAAGCGTGAACACGCTCTCATCCCAAAGTTCGGAGCCGTTGTCAATACGAGTAAAGGTAATGTTAAAAAACGCCTGATATATATCAAACAAGCCCTTAACCGTGACATCAAGAGGAAAGTATTCTTGAATTTCAGTCTCGCTAACATTGAGCTGATTCTTTTTGATCTGATTCATCATAAAAGCCACATCGTAATCCTGTAAGCGTCCATCCTCCGTCAAAATACAGCTTTCGTGCAAGTGTTTTTTTATCAACTCCAATTCGGAGTTCCATTTCTGCTTAAGCCGAGGAATGAGATCATTGACAAACCTTGATGCCGTCTCTGGAGATTTTGCCATTTTATCATCCAAATTGAGATAACTATAAGAAGGAAAGCCAAGCAGCTCAGCCAGAGTCTGCCTTTTGACGATCATTTCTTTCAGAACCTGCTCATTCACAGGATATGCCTTGTTGCTTGCAGCCCGAGCCATGACTTGACGGGTAGCGGCCACCTCGGCGTTTTTTATAATCGCAAAGTAGGTTGGATAGTCCATTTTCAACACAAGTCGACCATCATCCGCCTTTTTAAGCCCCTTGATGATGGATTCTGGCACCCCCCTTAGGTCTTCCGCCGACACCAAAATCTCACTCTTATCTTCGCTAATATTCCGGGAAAAGGTTGTGCACAAAGCCGATAGTTCTTTTTGCAATTCCACAACTTCCTTGAATTTGTCTTCTGGCAACTCCATTCCTTTTCGCCTGTAGTCTTTTAGCTCCTCCTCAAGCCAGTAAGAGTACTCTCTATCTTTCTTACCCTCCAAGTACTCCTTCCTGTATTCAGGGCTCTGGGAAACATCCTTCAGGGCCGCATAAAGGCGCTTATTGGATTGGAAATTGTCGATTTCAAATGCCTTGAGTTCAACGATTCGTTTGTTGGCCTCCTCACGTGTCGCCTTGTCTGCTGAGACATTCATCACCACTGAAAGCAGACTTGAAGAAACGCCAAACTCTGCAGCTGCAATATCAACAGCCACGGCAGTGTTGGTAAATGTCCGATTCCCCTCAACGGAGTAGATTGCATTCAACTTCTCCAGTGCTCTCTTCTTCGCCGCCTCCGCCACCACTTGACAGGCAGACACGCTCTTTGGAAACAAGCACGCGCACGTCGACGCCGTCTCCACGTCTGCAAATAGACGCCGGGCCATCCTCATATGCCGTTTTTCTTTTTTCAATCGCCTGGTGACTTTTTTTTTCTTGCTGTTGTTGTTTTTTTTTCTTTTTCTTTTTTTGTCCCTTTCTGTGTTTTTTTTCGTCTTGTTTTCTCTAACAAACCGATACAAAAGAAGGAAAAATAAAACAAAAAACGGAAAGAAGAAACATATGCATAAATATATAGTGCCGAAAACAACGAATAAACAAAAACAAAATGGTCGTCGAATAAACAAGAAGTGCGTTATAGACAGCAACAACTACAGTAAAAACGTCATGCCCAAGGGGAAAGAGTATAGAGATAATTCCAAATACGCAAGTATTATGTATTAGATTTACTCCATCTAAAGGATCTCGCGGGGCGAAAGAAGCTCCAATTTTTTGAACACTCCAAAAAAAAAAATAATCAAATAGAATCATCATTTAGCAATCGACCCAAATATAATAAAAACGAGAACTCCCAAAATACCCCCAAAAACAAAGCAGTGGAAATACATATGCCACGTCTAACACAAGTAAAATGAAAAGCAGAAAAAGCCACGACTCTCTTAGGATTTAACCTATTCTTATGACTTCGCAAACAGGCGGGAAAGAAAATCGCCCTACCACTTTGCTGCCAAATGCTACCCTCGTTATTCTAAACAAATAAGAAGCACATGCATAATTCATTATACATTTCCGCCCCGTCTCGAACAATAAACACAGCAAAGCATTTAGATCAACATTGTTTGCCTTTCTTCGACAACCAAAAATCGCGCCATTCTACAACGCACTTTTTCTTCACGCCGCAGCGGCTCTGCATCGGCACGTGTAGCTTTATCACTCTTCTGAGGGGGTTGCGGCAGCCGCATTTTCGCCCTCGTGCGAAGATGCAAAAAATTGGATCCGAGTTCTTTCGTCGGATCCGCTTCCTCCCCCGAGACGCTGCCGACGCGAAGAAATTCCGATTCGCTTTTTATTGGTCACGCCGCGCCTCGTCCGAACGGGGGTGCGAAGAAGAAGCGG